GAACTCACCCGAACGTGAGAATTCTATCGTGTCCTACACGACATCTGCCTCTGTTGTTGTTTAGAGAACCACAGTGTGGTGTTTGCGCGAAAGCCATGATATTGGACCTCTTGCTAACATAATCACATATCTACCGACGGAGTCTACAAACTTTAGGTATCACGCTAATGTATTATTTCTGTCGGGGATGTATTGTTGTTCTGCATGCGTAGTAGACTACATCGAATTGTAGCATTTCTTTCAGCGAGCGTTCATACAGGGAGGCTGCGATCACGGGGTAGTCCCCGATGAATTTGTGATAATAACTCAGGCTGCCCAGGAAGGACTGTACCTCCTTCATTTACGTAGATAATGGCAAATCCTGAACACCCTTAGCGATCTTCGGTGTTGCCCTGATTCCTTCAGCGCTAATCGCATGAGACAAATACGGAATGGACAATTTCCCGAACTCGCTCTTCTGTAAACTTACTGAGATATTCCAATACCGCAGCTTTTACAACAAGGCGTCCAAATCAGCACACAATGCATCCCAAGTCGGTGCACCATGTGCGATATCGTCAATATGCGTCGTAGGACAGATGACATCTGCGTCGGAGCAGGGATGTTCCTCTTGAACACTGCCATCTGTTCTGCCAAGGTCGGTAACGATCGAGGAATATGGTCGTTCTCACAACCAGTATACCCTGGAGTGCCACACCCTGGAGGTCCGTCATGCTAGGGGTCCAAATTCAGATAATACAAAACTTCTTGGTCTACTTTAGCCTCCTCTTCTGGCGGCAGACGCACGAAGCCCCACAGGCAATTTTTGATCACTTGCTGGTAGATCAGAGGTGCATTTTTAAGACCAAACGGCATTCGAATCCACTGAAAATGTCCAAATGGGCATACAAATGATGAAATAAGCTTGGCTCTTTCAGTCATCCTGATTGCCCAGAAACCGTTGGCCATATCCAGACTCATGAACCAGAGTGCCTTCTCGAAACCAACCAACAAGTCGTCAATGAGAGGTAGCGAATAGCTAGATAGCTGGATGAAGTTATTCACAAGTCGATAGTCAATACACATCCTGATGTACACTCCATTTTTCTTGTGCACGGTCACAATCGGAGATGCCCATTGCGATTCTAAATGTTCAATCAAATTGCTCTCGAGTAGGTTCTTGAGGAGTTCATATACCTTGACTGCTACGTGCGGTCCAATCGACCCTGGGCGCAACGCGATGTGTTTAGCCTCCCCTACATCAAGGTCATATACCATTCCTCTGGCGGGAGCGGGTGCAGCATTTCCATCACCCAAGAAAATATTTCTATGGCGTTTCAGGATCGCACGCATCCTGGACTCATCTTCGGGGAAGGTCTCACGTGGGACTCCTACATCGGCCTGATCGATATCACATTCTGTGTGCAAATCACTCAATTCTAGCAGCATGACAAACTGGTCTCACAATTTTGCCAGCAATCTCGCTCCCTTCATGTATGTAAACGCCTGCCTCCAAATCCAACTCTTCTGCACTAACTCTCATACAGCTTCTTACTCCATCTCCAACTTCTCGAGTGGTGTGCAGGACGCTGGTTTTGGGAGGGATCCTGGAATGTCATGTTCAGGGTATACCTCCGCGAGCGTCTCGCCACCCCGGGGTTTCTTGAAATCGATAGTCGACTTTGGAGGCATATCCGCAGAGGTACCGCCTCGGTCATCACCCAGGGTATTGCCTTCACCAGAATTACATTCGTAACTGTCTAGTTGACTCTCACTGACCTGTGTAGCGTCATTCATTCTGGTTGTCAAGAGGACGCTCTCCTCCGTCTGCGTACCCGAGTCAACAACTTTCCGCGATTCAACGCCTTGAACTGCGGGGGATCTTGCAACTGAGCCATCCTGACTTTTGCAGATCCTGGTTGGGGTCTTAGCATGACCTTGGTTGGTCATTGGTAGTCTATCTTCGGTACGCACGGAGGCTCTCGTTCTCACAGCGCCTGTTCTCTCCGTTCAGCTCTGAGTCTGTCTTGTTCTGACTGGGCGTGCTCCAGGATCCGGGTCTGCCATTCACGGTACGCTCGCGTGCCATGGCGGACAAAACGCCCGGCCTGCGGAAACGACCCATACTGCGCAATCCTGGCTAGCAGTATCCTCATATCGATCCAGACACTATGCTTCGACACATTCACCACTTTGATCGTCACTGGCTAGGACCTCGCCTGATACACAAGCTTGGTCACCCACCTATCACCTCGTCCAGCCCAAACGACTTCTCGTTCGGGATTCGTATGTCCGTACTGAATACGCACGACTCTGTGCTCTCTGGGCATGAGATACAAATTTTCTGGAGCCGTGACTGGTAAGTCCACACCCTGGGGTACTTTGACATTTTAATCGTACGTCAGAATAGACTCTCCGTCTGGGAGTTGCACCAGACCTTCTCGAACACAGACTCCCATTCCCGCGCGGAACATGAAATCCATGCCCATCCAATCCTTCACCAATATTGGCCACCCACAATTCCATAATATAGACCACCCTGGATCCCAGGGTTATCTTGACATCTGCACTCGCCGTGATCTGGGTAGAGATACCTCCTAATCCAGACACCTTGACTTGATTTTGTCGGATGGGCTTAAGCTTGAGTTTACGCGCTAAATCCAAGCTGATCATGCTCAATGACGCTCCGGTGTCAAGGCGTATTCGAGTTCCTATGTCATTCACGGCGCCATGAACCGTGGCAATCCTACGCTTTTCCTTCCCTGATTCGTGTGTAATTCCACGGGAAACCCTGGTGAAGTATCTTCTGAATGAAGCAATCCACAAGGGCTCAATCCTGAACTCATGGGATCTTAAAACAGTCATGCATTGTTGGTTATCTTGATTCTTGATCCTCAACGCAGGGCCGACATATACTAAGGCATACAGTCCTGGGGTCTTACTATGCCCGTCGCGTACTGGATCCCCATCCAGCGAGCTTAGTGGTTTAACGACCCATCATCAGGATCAGTCTTGATAGCCAGAAGTCGATCCAGCATCGGAGTGAGTAAGCCTTTCACGATGCCTTGGGGGGCTAGTCGTACAATAGATTCTAGCATCTCCCAATTTTCACAGCGGTTCATCAGGATCAGTCTTGATAGCCAGAAGTCGATCCAGCATCGGAGTGGGTAAGCCTTTCACGATGCCTTGGGGGCCTAGTCGTACAATAGATTCTAGCATCTCCCAATTCTCACAGCGGCGGTTGTGGAACTTGCCACACTTCTTGCACGGCAAAGTATTGCATAGCTGAGTAGGATGTTCAGTGCGATAACAGTTTTCGCAGATCAGGTCCGCCAGCAATTCGCAGCCCGATATCCGATTCCATTGCATTTGTCACAACGCATGTCGCGGTCAAGGTTGTCATACCTCGGCGATGACGATCCTGGGAGGCCATTTCTCTGGCGGTTCTCATCCTGGTCTGCCATATGTCCAGGTTTGTTCCACCCTGAATTCTCCATGACCTTGAGTACTGGCTGTGTCAGTTCTTCCATAGTCGTACTCGGGCCTTGGCTTTCGGGAGGTGCCTCGCGAGACTCGGCTTTTTCCTGGGCTGGGGAATTCTCGAGAGCTTCATCCTCGAACATCACATGTCGTTCATCCGAGTCTGATCCGTCGCCGCTCTGAGTGACGTACGCTCGTCCTGGGTACTTGGTCTTGAGTCGCCCCTGCCGGAGGTTGTCCGCCCTGAAGTCTCGTGCCTTGGTGGACCGGACACTTTGACTGCCGTCGTCCCAGTCGTCCTCCTGCTGCTTCAGCACATATTCCAGATCATCCATGCTCATGAATCGCTGGCTTTTCAGGATGTTCTTCAGTTGCGAATCTGCCAGTCGGTGTGTGAACCTCTTGACGTGCTGTTCACGACGTCACTCTGACTTCTTGTAGCGAATGTCCGCACGATCGGCTGCAGCATTCAGGCGATATAAGAAATCCAGGGGGGCTCTGCCTTGCATTGCTTCATGGTGTAGTATTTTTCTGAGTCGGACATCTTGGGTTTACTGTATTTCACCTTGAACTCCTTGGAGAACCTTGTCCAGTCACGACGCACATGCGGAGGCGGCCAAAGACTTGTCACTCACTGATGTGGAGGAGAGCAGAACGACGCTCCTTCTTCCAGAGCGAAGAGTACTCCACCAATAGTTACAGACCCCCACATCAATTCTAATTTCCGTATTGAGTCCTCTATGTCCGGTTGCAACGAACACTCTTTCATAGAGACATTGCTGATGTGCTTAGCCCGAGTCGAGGAGAGAGGAAGCGAGCACCGCCGCAGTGTTCAAGATGTTCGTCATCCTCCGACGACTCCGAAGACTCATGAGGCTCCGTAGGGACGGGTGGCCAGGGGTGTTCCACACCGATCACCCAGCCGCAGAGTTTCATCTGCATTTACCCAAATTAAAAAACGTATGTTAGTCTTTATGTTGAGCTGAGCGACGAAGAACTGGATGAAGCCACTGAGAGCTTTCTCGATTCGATTTGGTCGACACCTGCGAACAAGAAAATTATCTCGTCGATGCGCCACAACGGATGGGAATACGGTACGTTATGTTGGATATGTCCAACGTAAGGATGTCGTTATTGACTCGAGGTAGTTGATCAATGGCGTAGCGAACCTCACTTTCTGAAATGGGTTTATCAAGTTCTTTTTGCTCATCAGATTGAAGGCGTTGTGACTGAGGTAGTGTGTGAAACGTTTGATGTGCTGCTTGCATTTCGGCTGGCGTCAAGGAAGCCCCTGCTTCCACGTCGCACCTCCAGAAGATGATCGGCAAGTGATCCATGATTTCGTGGG